CTTCCTTCCTTCCTTCCTTCCTTCCTTCCTTCCTTCCTTCCTTCAATTTATTGCTGCCCAATTCCAAATAACTCTGTTATGGTTCTCAGCCTTCTTTCCCCTTGTTCCTCCCTTGCTTTGGTTTTCTTTGAGGTCTAAATGCTAGGAATGCTGCATTGTTTCCTTTATTCTCAGTGAACACTGCATTGTTTCCTAGTCTTAACTCATCAGCTTCTGTCCAAAACTCTCCCAGCTGTGAGATATGTAAAAGCTCTCAGCAGTATCATTCACTTCTCAGCAGGAAGACTTCACCCCTACATTTATAGATTAAGACCTATGTCACAACATACAGTAGCCCAGGGCTATCTGCCAACTTTTCATATCAGCTTGCAGATATGCATACTGTTTTTATAGATAGCAGAAAGGGAGATATAAACAGTAATTTCCCCATAGGAAAAAAAAGAAATGGGGGCCACTGCTGTGCTACCAAGAGGAGGAGAGAACTGGAGAGAGTAGTAGGGAGAGAGACTAGAAGAAAATAAAAAGATGGGAAAATAAAATAGATTCTAAACAGCTTTGGCTGTTGAGAGCTTGTTGGTTCCAGGACAGCCTGGAGCAAGATTCTTGAAGTAGAGCTAGGAGGACATCCAAACCCTTTGAAGAAACATGGGAGCAATGAGGGACAAATTTATGCTATGCAGATTGCTTCCACGGGAAGCTAAAGTAAGAGAAAAACTGCATCCTGTCAGCCTGAGAGAATGCCAGCCAGAATAATTACTCTTTACTTAACTCTAAGTAGGATTCTAGAAACTACAATGCATATCTTTAAGCTGTAGGCTGCAGACACATCAAGTAGAGAGATAGTTAACTTTGGCCATATACTGTAAATCAAACAGTTGGTTGTTTGCTTTACCATTGCTTATCAGGGGCAGAGGGGGCAGGGAGTGAGGGAAAGGAATATGTCTTAATTAGCTGCTGTTTAGATGCTGAAATTAAATACTGTCTGAAATGCTTTACCTGTATGAAAATGAAACTAGTAACATCCTTATTTTGCTAATAAAAAGAAAGGAAAAAAATCACAAAAGTTGTTTTGTACACTGTAAGTTGGATCGAGTCCCATGAACCCATGAAGCCCCTGTGACAATCAAACTCTAAAATATGTAGTTTCTTTTATTCTGATAAAAGAAAAAAGAAGATGGGCAAATTTGAATTCTTTCAGCGTTATCCAGCAAGAGTTTTAGTCTTGGACTCCTGAAAACTGTAATTTAATATTGGAATTCATTGTTTTGCAGCCTGCACATACCCCATCTGTATTTGAGTTTTCTTGCCCATCCCCAACTCACTCCAATCTGTTTGATTTCTGTATCACTTACAGGTGTCAGAGAACGGTGTTCCATCTATATACCAATTGACTTAACCAACAGAACGTGGATGAATAAAAGGGTGACTTTATTTGAATTGTAAACTTATTTGTACATCCCTAGAGGAAATAAAAATGATACGCACATCTGTGGGAGAAGCATACATCTGAAATGCTATTTCAAAACATTTTACATAAACGGGAGAGAATGGTTTCATACTGGAATGCGCGTGAAGTGACAACATCAAGGAATAGCTGTGTCAGTCTGTAACTCAAGATGGAAGGGAGACATCAAAGGCACCCTGAAACTGATTAGAATATTATTAGGAAACTTTACTTTTTAAAAACTTAATATTTTGATATGTTTATTTCAGGTTTATGTGACAAAGGATTGCAGCAAGCTATGATTAATTGGTAGCAAATAAATAAGTGTCACCTGGCTCAAATAATGGAGGAGGAGATTCATAGTTTTTTCAAAGAGGAAACATTATGAGTTCCTTAAGTTTGCCACCATCAGTTAAAATCTCAACTAGAACAGATTTCTGAATCAGTTAAGCAGGCATTCTGGGATAGCAGGATACTACTTTGCATTCTAAAAATCATCGAACTTTGGATTCCTGAAGACTCAATAGAAGACCCAAATTCCACTGCTGAAGGCTACCCTATTGTTGGACAAAAGTGAAAATCTTTGTGCCAGAGAAGCAGTAGCTTGTCCATTGCCTTTCGATGCGGATTATGCCCCAGCCCTCCCTTACTACAATGATAGCCCCTTGTCTTGTAAACTTTCACCAGGTATTTCAGGACTAACATAAACTGGTTATCATAATGCTGCAAAGCCAGAGAGCTCCTGCCACTAATGATAGGTGAAAAAAAAAGTAAGTTTATTAGAGATGATTTTTACAACCATGGTCATGTGACAAAATATTTTTCATCTAAAGCAAAGGCAAGCTAGGACAAAACATTTTACAGCTAGTTTTCACTGGTTCTCCTTAGATGTGTAATGGAAAATTACATCTTAACATTAAATTGACTCTGTGGTACAAATGGAGTTGCACAGAGAAGGATGGAAACTAAAGACGTTGGCAAACCTTTGTGTGCTTTGGCCCAAATCATAGTGGTGAAGCCACATACTGTCTTCTCAAAGAAGTCTGAAGTGTGGTCCAGCACGCATTAAAATCTAACAAATCCAAGCATTTTTCCAGTTTTCAGTTGGGGAGACAATTATATTTAAATATGATTGTTAGCTTCTGCCTTGTTAGCTCCTCTGGGCTTATGCTTAGAATATTATCTTTATCTCCATGATGCAATGTGTGGGGGATGTGTGGGGGAAATTTTGGTGGGAGCTGGTTGTACACTCCTATATTTAAACAACAACAAACAAACAAACAAACAAAAATCCATCCTTGTAGCCCAACCAGTAAAGCAAGGAACATTCATCTTTTCAGAAATGTTCATAACCGGGTTTCACCAGTCTGCATCTCATCTTCCCTGGAGTCTTCCTCATTTCTGAAAACCCTGTGGAGTGCAAGCTTCATGGACACTCTGGATCGATCTTCTTTTTTTCTCCCAGCCAGGAAATAAAGGATTGGGTTGATGCTGCTATTTACTGTGATACAGATCTCAGATAGCAACATAAGAATAAATACACTTTGAAGCCAGGGTTGCATATTATATGCAACAGTTAAAACAAAGTCAAAAATGTATTCATTTTCTATTAGCGAGCTGCTAAGCAGTTCATCCAATACCCATTTTAAATCTATGTTTTTTAGTATGCTATAACTAATAATGGAAAATATACTCAGTGGCAAACGAAAAACAATGAAGCACAGGAGTGCAAGCAAGGTTACCGTCAACACTTTTTTCCACTTTTGCTGGCGTTGTTTAAAGAAAAGTTTAACAAGTAGGATCAGAGTGGATATGACCATCACTGTGTAAGAAATCAGACCATTGAAAATAAGCTGGAACAATAAAAAAGTCTGTGAAAATATAACTACAAATTCCAATCCAAAAAACACAATGGGCAGAACCCAAGAGATAGCACATACAATGAGGGACAATTTTGGTGGCCGACGACATCGATGCCACATTGGAAAGAGCACAGATACACACCGGTCCACGCTGATACTTATTAGTAAAAGTTGACTAGTATTGTATGCCACAAAATAGATAAGGTTAAAAATCAAATATATTCTCAAATTATTTGGACTATAAATCTGGGATATTTGAGTCAAAGCCTGCATTATGAGTACTCCAGAATCAGCCACAGCCAAATTCAAGATGTAGATGGAGAAAGAATTCCTCTTCATATGGAAACCAAGGATCCAGATGACTTTTCCATTCCCTAAAAGTCCCAAAAAGCAGAGAGTAAGAAGAATGACATTAAGGACGACATTCTCAGTAAAAATTGGAATATTTGAAATTAGGGAATTTTTGAAGTCAGTCCAGTTTGAATTGTCATAGGTTTTGTCTATAACCTCTGAAGCAAAAGATGGGGTAGAGCCAAACTCTGCCATTGTGTTCAGCTCAATTTTCTTTTCTTCTGTATTTGCCTTTTTCTCCTTTTGTATATGAACTCCTGCAGAGAGAGGTGAAGCAGGCATACAATAAATCCTAAATTATGCTAAATTATGTTCAGAAAACTTGTACAGCCACAAGAAACTTAGGAGGTTAAAAGGGAATTTTCTTTGACAAGCTATGCAGTTATCCTGGTGACAATACAGAACTCAGGAGAGCAAGCAAACAAATAAATGTCTAATAAATTAAATATAGAGACACAATTAAATAAACATTCCATATCTACCACCAGCCAGCAAGATATTTGCAAGAGATCTGGAAAGAAGGGTAGAGTTTTAGGAAGATAAATGTACATTGGTCACCTTTATTTGCAATTCATAGAACCTTGTACAATATTTACAAATCTTAAAGTATGTGAAACTGGATAAGTTCCATTTCTCACATTTTTCCTAACACTAGAGAGATCCTAAATTCTACTTCAAACCCTTTCTGATAATTTGGGAAAGATACTGCTTCAGATCCATTTGCTCCCAAAATTTAGTGAAAAACGACATTACTGAATTTTGATGGAAAATGAGGCATGGTCGACATAATATTTTGAAGTTCTTATCCCATCACAAGCAAACTGTAAAACTACCTTAATCCGCCTGGATCAAATGGGAGGCTTGTCCACC